GTCGCGCTCGCCACAGCTGAGAAGCCTACCTCGGAGGTGTGCCCCCTGCTCTCCCCGTGCGCCCCCGTGGTGCGACCCCTTTCATCCAGACCCAGCCGCACCCCCGCCCCCGGCGGAGAGGGAACTGCGGTTCTAGGACCCGGAGGCGCCGCCGCGCGCGCCGCCGCCTTGGCCTCGCTTCGGTCTCCTCCCGCTCCGGCAGGTGAAGTGGCGCCGGCCGCCCCCTCTGCGGCAGGTGAAGCGGGCCGGCCGCCCCCTCCCCGCCGCGCCATGGCCGCGGTGGACCCCCGGCCGCCACCCGGCGCCCGCCCCCTCCCTCCAGCCCGCCCCGCTGCGGCCGGGCACGCAGCGGCGGCGGCGGCGCACGGGGAGCGACAGCAGAAGTTCGAACATCGCCGAGGGGGGAGCCCGCGCCGCAGCTTCCTGCCCCCGGCCCGGCCCTCTGGCCCCGCGGCCTGCAGCCTGACTTCCTCCCCCACCCTGCAGCGCGCCGCCTGGCTCCCTCGGACCGGGCCGCCCCGATGGGACGCCGCGCCCCGGCTCCTGCGCGCCGCTGAGCCGAGCGCCCGCCGAGCGGAGCCGAGCCGAGCCCCGCCGCCGCCTGCCGCTGCCCCCTCGCCCTCCGGATCGGGAGCCTAGTCCCATCCCCCGGAAAGCTGGATTTCCGAGGTTGGAGGCGACTGGCCGACTGGGTGGGGACCACCATGGGCAACGCGGCCGGCAGTGCGGAGCAGCCCGCGAGCCCCGCCACGCCGCCCCCCAAGCAGCCCGTGGCCCCCAAGCAGCCGATGCCCGCGGCAGGGGAGCTGGAGGAGAGGTTTACCCGGGCGCTGGTGAGTGCTGCCGGTGCGCGGGGGCGGGCGGGGGGCCGCAGGGGCTGGGCTCGCATCCCCGCCCCCGGGGGCTCAGGTACCGCTTGGAGAGCCTGGCCCGGCGGGACCCCTCCGGGGGTGGCAGCGACAGTGGCTTTTTTCAGAGTGACTTAGCACGCTTCCCCCAAAACTTTCTTCTGCGGCAGCCCAGCCTTCCCCCCGCAGAGCCCCTGCCCCACCTCGCTCACGCGCTCCCGGTCTGAAGGTCTTTCACGGACCGTCCCGCGAGCAAGTTGGGAGCTGGAGCAGTCTAGGTGCGGGGGCGCGGCGCCCCCTTCCCATTGCGCGCAGGCCCGGCCGCCGGGCGCGGGTCCGGAGCATCCGCCCTTGGGCTCGCTCCATCCGAAGCGTGGAAGCTGGGACGGGTTCTGCTTTAGCCTCATGGGAACCAGAGACCTAGCGAAGGTGTTTAGCCAAGAATCGTGCGGGGCCTGGGCGGCTGGGAGGCCGGGCAGCGGGTGGGTCTGTGTGTCCCACAGCGCTTCGCAGGTGGCGGCCAGAGGTGGGTCGGGTCTTGGGCGCCCCTCCCCAGGCGTCCGTGGAGTACGGTCAGGAAGGGCAGGGTCAGGATGCTTTGGTCACTTTGGCTTGGGATTGAAGCAAAAATCTGGAAGCCCCCCTACCTCCACCACCACTGTCTGGGGGTCTGTAGGAGGGGAGGGGTCCACCAGCTCAGGCTGAGGCCGGTTGCAGTCAAAGTGTGCTTGCTTGGTGCTGCAGGGAGCTCGGAGCAGAGGCAGGGGACCCCAAGACTGGCAGGAGGCAGAAGTAGGGGAGGGGAGAGCCACTTAGTCCCACTTCCGCCTCCCAGCCCAGCCCTGTCCCCGGCTCCCTGGTGGCCTGTCCACCGTCAAGGCTCCCTTGCTGGACAGTGGTGACAGCAAATAAGGCCCTGCTCGTCCTCTGAGCAGGCTGGCCCTGCCGGGCTGAGGCAGGTGCGGGCCCAGGGCGGCTTCCTACCTCCCAGACACCGTTTCCCTCCCGTCCCCTGGCTGGCCGTCGGGCCACACTTGCCAGGTCCACTCTTCATGGCCCCAGAGGAGAGCCTCCCAGCAGTTCCTGAAAATCTTGGCTGCTGCCTTCTCCCAGGAGAGCAGGAAGAGCCATCCGGAGCACCCTGGGCGGAGTGGGAGCTGCGGGTGCCTGGCTTGGCTGGGTGGGTGGGAGCTCCCAGGGACACACCACTTCCCCGACTTCCCCACCGTCCCACCTGCCCCCACTTCCCTCCTCCCAGACCCAGGGCTTGGCAGAGCTGAGCTGAGCAGACAGGGAAGGGGAAGAACCAGGGTGTGTCTGGACCCCCACCGATCCGTCTTGGCCCCCTCTAGCGTCTTTTCATGGATGGGGGTGGGGCTGCCCTTGGTGACGTCCAGGCCCCCCTGTCTGTTCTGGTTTGCACACGATGGGGAGGAGCCCTGTGAATAATTCAGAGCAGTGGAAAATCCAAAAGTCAAATGGTGAGCTCTGATGCGTGTGGGGGACTGGATTGCCCTGCCCTGGTTTGTGGCTGTAACACAAAATGCCCCTGGGAGTCCCTGAGGTTCGGGCGTGGAAGGAGGCAGAAGTGGGCCTTACTGGGTGTCTGCGTGGACAGTGGGTGGTGGAAATCTGGGGCAGTCCTGCTGGTAGAAATCAGGGGTTCACACCCCACTTCCCCTGGTCCCCAGGCACCCCCTGTGCTCACACCTTCTTCCTGGGGAGCGTCAGCCCATTGTGGGCAGGGCAGATCCAACCTCAGGTCACTCAAGTAAGAACTGGGCTCCTATGACTCCCCAGCAGCAAGAGATAGCCCCCCCCCCAAGCAATAGCCTTGACCTCTGATGGGAGCTGTCCAAGGCTAGAGCTTTGGCTGACCCACAGGTCTGGCAGGGGTGTTGCAGGGTGGGGCGCCCCCTGGTCATCACACCCCCTGGGGCCAGAGCTTGGTCCCCATCCTTAGTCAATGTCAAAGAAACCACCCTCAGGGTCCCCCAGACTGTGGGCAAAGCACAGAGCTGTCCTTGAGTGGCCTTGGGGAGCTTTTTCCTTTTCCTTAAGCTTAGTACTGGTGGGGAGTCGGATCCCAGCCCCCAACTCCTCCTCCCTTCCTGGCAGTGGAGGGCGAGTGGTCCGCCTCTCAAGCCCACAGCCAGACAGGCGGTACAGGGAGCCTTTCTCCCATGCAAGGACGGGGGGGCACCTTTCCAAGCAGGCTGAAGAGAGAGGGGTGCCCCAAGCTTAAAATGGGGGTGGGGAGAAAGAGCAGGTTGAGCCAAGGTGCCGGTTGCTGCCTTAGCAACTGCGGAGCAGCGAGGGCTGCCCGGCTCCACGGGCCTGCTGCGCCGGCGGGAACACCAGCCAGCCAGGCTCCCAGCTCTCGCCTCTCCTACGCCCATGCCCGAGGCTGGGTGGCTTCCAGTACCTTCGTGCCTCCCCCTGCTCGGGATGGCAAGGCCCCCTTTCCAGGCCTGCCACAAGGGCCATGCTTACCCTGGGCTGCCTGGGCAGGGAGGGGGCTGGAGCCTCAGGGGCAAGGGGTCCAGGGCAGGGCTGATGGTCTCGTGGCTGAGGGTGAGGAGCTGTGCCATTCAGACAGGACTCTCTGCCTGCTGGGGACCTCGCCCTCGGGGGTGTCCAGGGCTGTGGGCACTTGGCCAGCAGCGCGCGCAGTAGTCGGGACAGGCCTCGGGAGTCCTGCTTCCAGTGGGGGAGGGGTCTGCATTCTGCCTGCCTGCCTGCCCGCCTGCCTTGGGATTCTGCCTCCTGGCCAGCTCCCTCCTCGGGGGTGAGGCAGAAGTTTGGGGGCAGCTGGCTGTGGGGTCGCCCAGACCTCGTGCCTCCCATCTCTGAGGTGTGTCTCACAGACGGTCTCCGTGGGGTGTGGCCGTGTGGTCAGAAGGGGGCCTGGGTGGCACTCCTAGCAGGCAGGGCTGGCACACGCTGACGCTGGACGCTAGGGATGTGGTGGGCGTGATTCACAGTGGCCTCTGGGGCCCGTGGGCAAAGAGCTGGCTGAGACAGGCAGGGGCAGGTGCGGCCGCTCTCAGGGCCACCTCTGCACGTTGCTGGGGACACGGAGCCCTGGAAGGTGGCTTGGGCCTCCCTGCCTGTGAGGCCTGGAAGGCTCCTGGGTTGGGGGGCTGTGAAGTTTGCAGGTTGAGCTTCGTCTTTGTCGGTTAGTGTCTGTGTGGCCTCGGGCAAGTTACCTCACAGGTAAAAAGAGAGTCCTAATGACTTGTGGCCTCCTAGGGTTTTGGGGGGGCTCTCAGCAGGGTTGGGCTCAGCACTCAGGCTCCCTGCTGTGAGGGAGGGGCTGGTCTCAGAGCTGAGCTGTTTCTCTTCATCCTTTCTCCATGGAGGGGGGAGGGGCCTCCAAGGTGAAGGAGCCCAGACCATGCCCCCCCACCCTCCCGCCAAGAGCACCAAGGGTGGCCAGGCATCCCAAGGAACCCTGGGTCTTTGCCAGTCTCCCTGCCACCAAGCAGGTTAGCAAACCGTGGGGCCTCTACCGAAAACGGCTGGTGGCCGGAAACCAAGGCGGGAGGGCCCACCTCTCCGGGGGGTGGGGCAGCAGTGGTGCTAACGGCAGCAGGGTGCACATGGGGGGGGGAGCCTGCACTTCCCCCTGGAGAGGGTGTGCTGCTGGGGGGGGGTTCCCCAGTGAGTAAGAGCTCAGTGCGGGCAACAACAGGAAGTCTGGGGTGCTGGGGGGGCAGGAAGTGGCACTGACTGTCTCCGGTTCCTCAGAAGGGAGCCCGGGGAGCAGGCTGTCTGCAGGAGACCCCCGAGGGTCCTTCCCTACCCTGTGCAAACAGAGCCTCCTCTCCAGCTCTCCCTCTAGGCCACTTAGACGCTTTGTGCCTCAGTCTCCCATTTGTGAAGTGAGGTTGTAACAGTGTTGACTTTGCAGGCTCCTTGTTGAGGTTTAAGCGAGTTCGTGGCTGTAGAACACTTAAGTGGAACTCTCAAAGAGCATTTATAGTTATTATTATTTAAAGATTTATTTATTTATTTGAAATGCAGAGTGACAGAGAGATTTTCCATCTGCTGGTTCGCTCCCCAAATGGCCACAACAGCTGGGGCTGGGCCAGGCCAAAGCCAGGAGTCAGGAGCTCCATCTGGGTCTCCCACGCAGGTGCAGGGGCCCGAGCACTTGAGCCATCGTTCGCTGCCATCCCAGGCGCGTTAGCAGGGAGGTAACAGCCCAGTCGTCTCATCTCTTCTGGCTGCTTCCTGAGTGCTGGCTTAGCCTTTTGTGCCACAACAGTGACCTTTTGGGAGCAATTCTGGAGATGATGATGTTTTATGTTGATTGGGGGGGGGGGTTAAGTTACTGCTCTCCCACCCCCACCCCCACCAGCCTGGATTTTACACCCGGTGTCCTGGCTCCTGCTCTCTCTGCCTTTGTCTGCTGTGGGCTCTTTGAATCCTGATGTGAGAAGCTGTTAGCTTTTTGGAGTTCTCATACCTGACCCGGGGCTGGATCACCCCACAGTCTTCCTTGAAGCCTGGACGTGCTTTTTGTGAGCGCTCCAGAAAACCGATACGCCAGAATTTTACAGAGAGGATAAAACTGATTGTTTTTGGAGACGTGCAGAGAGCTCTAACACCAGGGCTGAGACCACAGAGAGGTGGGTAGGGGGAGACGATGGAGGAGCGAGCTGGCCTGCGTCTGGGACTGGTGTTCAAGGTCAGGGGCACCCTGGACCCTGGAGCTGCAAAGGCTGGGCGATGAAAAGAGAGTGGGCAGGTGGGTTGGGCTCAAATTGAAAGTGAAACTGGGGTGTGGACCGAGCCCCTCCGGTTTCCTGGGACACTGACTCAGAAGTCAACAGCAGTCGGTGCGGGGCTGTCCAGGTGGGCTCAGAGTGGGGGTTTGCAGGGGCTGCCTCCTCTGGTGGGAGGATCGGGAGTCAGTGCCCTCTCTGGGCCACACCCGAAAAGCTGAACCTGCTGCTCTCCCTCCACCTGGAAGCAGTTCCCAGATCTCTGTGCAAGGGGGGCAGTGGATGGGGTGGGGTGGGGTGGGCTGTGCCCATTTTATGGAGGGAGAAGCTGAGGCCCAAGGGGGCCACACAACTGTAGAGTGAGGTGGGCTCAGAGGCCGAGTCTTGAGTCCAGCTCTGGTTCTTCCACATCACAGCTGCCCTCTCCCTGCCCTCTTGCTTCCCAGGAGGCAAGTGCCCCCCACACACACCTGGCCCTCCTGCCCCTCCTGGGCCCAGCTGAACACTGTCGGGCAGCCAGACTTCCCCTTGCCCCCAGCCCCCGCCCATGGTGCTGCCTCCCAGCTGAGGGCCCTGGGTCTGGGGATCTGTTCCTGTTTTTGTGGTGGCCCCACCCCAGCCCAAGTGAGTGGCATCCGCCAGCCCCTCTCCCTCTCCCTGGTGTGCCCAGCTCCTGGGTGGGCACAGCCACAGCCGAGGAGCAGCTGCTAATTAGTGCTCAGAGCTGTCAGAGCTATTTCTGATTTCTGAGCCTAAATTTAGCCTGTCTGGCAGGCTGACTTGTGGGGCTGGGGGGCCTGAGGAGGCCCAGGTGGGGAAGGGGCCGCTGCCGGCTGCCCGGGGCGGGGGGTGGGGTCGGGGGAGAGGAGCGGCCGGGCTCAGGGCAGTCGGGCTGCGCTCTTCCACGCCTGTAACCTTGGCCGGGTCGCTAAGTCCGCCTGCACTTGCACCTGTGAGATGGGCATGAGCGTAAGGGTGAGCGTGGAAAGCATCACATCACAGGCAGGGCTCAGAGCAGAGCCTGCGCGCACACGCACACGCACACGCACACGCGTGTCTTGGTGGAGCTGGCTGCATGGCCCTTAGGTCACACTGTCTCTGCCTCTAAGGGTCCACTGGGGCCATTCCGAAGCACAGCGCTCAGGGGCAGGTGAGCGCCTGGAGACACCCACCTCGGTCAGATGCGGGGCTCAGCTGTGCCTCGATCCCACCTCCATGCAGGCCTCGGGTGCCAGGGTCCCCTATCCCACCTCCATGCAGGCCTTGGGTGCCAGGGTCCTCGATCCCACCTCCATGCAGGCCTCGGGTGCCAGGGTCCTCGATCCCACCTCCATGCAGGCCTCGGGTGCCAGGGTCCCCGGCACTGCTCCTCTCGCCTCCCCCTCCCCCCTACAGCCTCTCGCTCCCTTTGGTCTCTGTGGGGTGGGTCTTGCATCAGAGGGAATCAGAGAGGGGCAGGCAGAGAGAGAGAGAGAGAGAAGGAGAAAATGGCCTTGGGGAGGCCTCCCTAGCCAAGTGGGCCCCCTCCCCCAGCTCCAGGCCCCTTCCTGGGCCGTCCCTCTGAGTGGCAGCAGGAGCTGGCCTGGGCTTGGGCTGTGACATCGCGGTCTGGTTTCCTGAGCCCGAGCAGGCACACTTTCGCAATGGGGGAGCCAGGCCGTCCGCACCCCGGCTGGCCGGCGGGGCCTGGGGGATGGGCTGTCTCACCTCTCCAGTGCAATGGGGGCTGAGAGCTCCCTGCTTCCTCTTGTCTGGGGCTGACCCAAGGCAGTGATTTTTGGGGTGAGATCTGGCCAGAGCCCCAGAAGCAGGCCTGGCACCCCAGAGCGGAAGCTGGCGGCAGGGCCTGGGAGGTGGGGCTCCCTCTGCTCAGAGCCACGTGACAGAGGGCTATAGACAGAGCCCCAGGCTGGCGCCAGGCGCCAGGAGTGCGCTGACTCTACGGGCACACACATAGTAGGCCTCACGCACAGTAGGCCCGCAGTAAGCCTGGGGGTTCTGAATGGAGGTGGACCAGCCTCCTCCTCTGGGTCTATCAGGGTCTCGTGCCAGGTCCTGGAGCCCCTCATTCTGACACTGCTTGGTGGCCTGCACGGCCCCGGGACCGGGCCCTGCTCCTGCTGTGTCGTGACAGGGCCACCACCGCGGTGCTGCCTGTGGCCGGGGAGGAGCAGGCAGGGCCCAGCCAATGTTTCTTAACTCCCGAGGGGAGTCCCAGCCTGAGCACTAGTACCGCAGACCCAGCGGGTTGCGTGATTTTCTTCCCAAGCCCAGCCCTGCAGCCGGGACGCACCTGCCCGGCTGGCATCCGCTCCCTGAGCCCGCCCTGCTGGAGAGGGCCCAGCGTCCCTGGACGGGGGTTTGCAGGGCTGGTGAGACTCTGGAGCCTGGGCCTGGGCTGGACACACGTGGCCTCTGGTGGCCTGTGGGAGGGGCACTGGCCCCATCTGGGCCCGGCTGGACGTGGCTTCCCATCAGGATGGGGGAAGAGGTGACACGCCTGGTGGCAGGGATGCCAAGGGGGCAGGGTGGCAGGTGACAGAGCCCAGATCCTGGTGTCGCAGTCCAGCCGTCGGACCCTGGCACGGGCTGAGGGACCAAGGGGATTCATGGCACCTTCCAGGGAGGCTAGGGTTCCCAGCGTGCCCCTCCCTGCCCCTCACGGGCACAGCACAGAGACAACCACAGCTGGATATCTGAAGGAGACACCTTCACCACGAGCCACGGAGAGAACCCCGTTCTCCATCCCTGTCGCCCCCTCAGGTCCCAGCCCACACCAGCCTTTAAGAAGGGGCCTGACGCTCTGGAGGCCCTGGGAGGGCTCGGGGGTCTTTCCTTTGTCCCCCGCCGCCAACTGCGTGAACTTGACCCTGAGTCTTTCCTTTGTCTGCCCCCCACCCTCTCAGAACTGCATGAACTTGCCCCCAGACAAGGTGCAGCTGCTGAGCCAGTATGACAACGAGAAGAAGTGGGAGCTCATTTGTGACCAGGTGGGTACCAGGCCGGCTCAGCTGCCCTTCCCTCCCCGCATCGGGGTGCCCAGCCCTGAGCAGGCTGGGCCTGGCAGGAGGAGAGGTCAGGGCCGGGCTGCCCCGAGGGCATCTGCAGGACTCCAGACTGCCCCTATCTGGGGCATGGGCCTCCCAGAGACCTTGTGAGTCACAGGCGTGGCTGGGTCTGCCATGACGAGCCGGCAGGGGCTGGGCCAGGACACAGCCAGTGTGGCTGGGAGCAGGTGCCCGTCCTCCTCTGCGTCTCTGGACCTTCCAGCTCCACTGGGGAAGGGAGATGACCCTGAGGTCAGCCATCTTCGTCTGACCCCCTGGGAGGTGGGGGCCAGGGTGGGCAGCCTTGCTAGCCTTTTCCCTTGGGCCCAGAGGAGCCGCAGTTGAGCAGCCAGCAGCCCCCAGGCGGCACCGGGCTCACGGCTGCTGTGGCTCATTCAATGTCCCTGCCCCTCCAGCTGCTGTGGCAGGACCCTCTCCCAGTGTGGGGACAGGGTGGGGCCTGGCAGCGGCAGTGAGTTGGGGAGAGAGGGAGGGAGGCAGGCCAGAGTTGCCTGCAAGCTGGAGAGGTTGCAGGAAGGCAGCTGGGAGCCGAGCCTCCCCTGGGAACCACAGCCGCCTGCTAATGGACCGGCTGGGCTGGGCCACGCTGCCCTGGCAGCTGTCGGGGGATGAGGGCCTGGCTGTGGGAAGAGGGTGGAGCCACTTCCGGAGGGTCTGGGGCTGTGGCAGGGGCCCCTGCTGATGGAGCTCAGCTGGGGCCTCCAAGGCCTTTTCAAGTGGAAGGTAGAGGGGTTGGGGTGGGAGGAGCCCCCTGGGTGAGGCCTCTGCTATGGTGCTTGGCTCTTCTGGTGAGTGGCGGCCCATGCCAGGGATGGGGGCGGGGATGCAGGTGAGGAGCACATGTAGGGAGCTGGCCCTGCACAGAGGAGCCCCCAGTGTTCTCCACTGCTGTATTCCCTGTAGTGGTCCAAGGAGGGCAGGGGGTTGGGAGGGCGCCACCTGCTGGCTGGATTGGGTGCCCCACAGAACTGCGCCCTCCACACTGCACCCCAAGGCTGTGCTAGTCGTGTGGCCTGTGACCGCAGATGGGGCCCTTGAAAGTGGCTTGGAGTATTGTTTGATTTCTGCCTTTGGTGTTTTCAAGACGCCTTAAGACAGCTTTGGGGGTGGGTGCAGGTCAAGATCTGGGGTGACCCCGGGACTGGCCATTGCCCTGGGGAGCTCTGGCTATTCCCTCCAGAACCCACTGCATCTCCCCAGGAGCGGTTTCAAGTCAAGAACCCCCCTGCAGCCTACATCCAGAAGCTGAAGAGCTACCTGGATACCGGTGGGGTCAGCCGAAAGGTAGCGACTGATTGGATGTCCAACCTGGGGGTACATGTCCCTTTCCTTCCTCGCCTTCTGAGCAGCTGAGCAACTGTGTGTGCAAGCTTGTGTGTGTGCGTGTGTGTGTGTGTGTGCAGGGGACTGAGTGAGTGGGGCATGTGCTTGTACGTGGTCCTCTGCACATGTGCTGTATGCTTCCGTCGGCACACCTGTGTGCAAATATGTGTGTACTTTGTGCCCATTTATGGATGTGTGTGTCTATGTGTGTGTATATCCCACGTGTCCACATGTGGGTGTGCAGGTCCCCTTAATCTGTGCCTGGGTGCTCGTGTATGCCGTATGTGTGTGTGTTCACGTGTGCCTGTGTCTGCATGTGTGTGCTAGGTGGCGGGTGTGTACGGAGGTGTGTGCGCATGTGTGTGTGTGTGTATGCGGCTCATGAGCTCCTACGAGTCTGGATGTGGGAGTGCCCGGAGCTTGTGAGCGCTGATTCTGCTGGGCAGGTGTGTGGAGGCGGTGGGGGAGGCCGAGCGTGAAAGGCCACGCGTGCCAGTGGGGGCAGCGGACGCTGCTGCCTCAGCAGCACCAGACACCCCCCTGCTTGGCCCCCAGTTTCGGAGGCGTGTTCAGGAGTCCACGCAGGTGCTGCGGGAGCTGGAGACCTCCCTGAGGACAAACCACATTGGGTGAGTGGGGGGCCTTCCTGCGCCCCATGTCCACAGGGAGGGCTCTGCCTGGCGCGCGTCCACCACAGGGCCCCCCTCCTCTCCTGTCCATCCTCGGCTGCCCCTTGGTCCTGCCCGGGCCCCCAGCCAGCGTCCTCTGCCTCGCAGGTTGGGGTGGCTTCCTGGGGGAGGGGCCTGCCGGAGGCGGGGCCTCCTCGCGCTGGGCCTCAGGGAGCCCCGTGGTCCGGTCCGCAGGTGGGTGCAGGAGTTCCTGAATGACGAGAACCGCGGCCTGGACGTGCTCCTCGAGTACCTGGCCTTTGCCCAGTGCTCCGTCGCGTAAGCCCCCGCCCCCTCCTGGCCCGCCCTCAGCCCTCAGCCCTCGCTGCCCAGCGCCTCACCCACTCCTCTGGCCAGTTCCAATCGATGCAGCGGGAGCCCTGCATTTGGCCTTGAGCCATGCCCCTTGCCAAAGGCTGGTCTGGCTGCGGCGGGACATTCCCTCCCTGCTGCCCTTGGCACGGTGCCAAGCACACAGCCCCCTGCTGCCCGCAGACCTGTCCCCCGGATGTCCTGGGCTCCCCGCCCATGGGCCCCTGCGTCGTGCCCCCAGGTATGACATGGACAGCACTGACAACGGGGCCCCCAGCCCAGAGAAGAGCAAGCCCCTGGAGCAGTCGGTGGAAGATCTCAGCAAGGGGCCGCCCTCATCCGTGCCCAAAAGCCGCCTGACCATCAAGTACGTGGGTCCCAAGGTGGAGTGGCAGGGAGTGGGGAGGATCCGCCCACGCTCCCACAGCTGGCCAGCTCCACCGGGGCCCTTGGGGTTCTGGGAAGGGCAGCCAAGCACTGGGGGTCTGAGGGAGGGCCTCACACGAGGCTCGGGACCCCCACACGTTAGGGGCTGGGCATGAGAGGCTGGAATCTGGGTGGCTGAGATAAGGAGGGGCTTCTGGGGTGGGGCTCCTCTCGCACTCATCTAACCCCCTGTTTTCTCCCACGCGGCCTCCAGGTGTCCCCCTTCTCCCCGGTACGTAGCCACCTGGGGACAGGTGCATGCCCGGCTGCCTCCCTGGGGTGGTGGTGGGTTTGGATAAGGCTTGGGGTTCAACCGCCGTGGATAAGTCCCCAACCTAATGCAGGCCATCCTGCAGGGGTGAAGGGAGGGGAAGGGGGGGCCTGGAGCACCCTGCTGCCCCTGGCTTCCACCATGGGTCTAGGGTCAGGGCCAGTCAAGCCCCGGAGCCTTGCAGTGTTTCTTTGCTCATGTATTCCAGGACAGGGTCTGGCTCTGCCAAGGCAGCCACAGGCAGAACTCGAAATTCCATAAATCTAGAGCAGGCTCATCTTCCAGTCGATCGTCTCGTATGGCCCATGAATGATGTTATAAATATCCAAATGGCCCTTGGCAGAGAAGAGGTTCCCCACCCACTTTTTTTTTTTTTTTTTTTTTTTTTTTGCACTTACTGTGTATTAGGTGTGTGGCAGGTAGCCAGCAGACAGATCACCCTGCCCCTGGGGGCCTAGTTGGGGACAAGGCTGTGTGACAGGCAGCTCCGAGAAAGGAGGTGGCCTCTGCCTGGGGCATTTCCCAGAAGAAGTGACCCTGGCACAGGGCCTCACAGGCAGCCATGGGGGTGTCTGGGCAGAAGGAAGAGGTGGGGCAGCTGGCGCACACCTGCCGCTGCTGGGCCAGGGTGGCGTGGCAGGGGAGGCGGGCTCCGGGTTCTGGGCACTGTGCCGGGAGCATCAAGAGGACCGATCTGCGGAAGTCAGGGTTGGCAGCTCTGCGCCAGTGAAAACAGAACACATTTTTTGGCAAAAAAAAAATCACTGGACTCACTCCTATAGCACGGATCTGGGCAGCCCAGGTTCCAAGCCCATCTCCTAATCCCGATAGCCCCACCAGAAAGCTGCTGTTTGCCTGGTTTACCAGCAAGGAAAATGAGGCACAGGGAGAATAAGTACCGGCTAGTACGTGGTGGGCTGGGCTGGGCTGGGATCCAGGCAATCAACTCGGAATCAGGCACCCAAGAGGCATGAAGAGCTGGCGTGGCTGAGGGCGCCACCTTGTGGAGAGCCTTCCCAGCTGTTCCCAAGTCGTGTCTTTTCCCTCTGGGGCGCTGTCCACTGGGACAACACAAGTGGGTCCTTTTTTGACTGGGCGGAAGACAAAGGATTTATTTATGTATTTGAAAGAGTTAGAGAGAGGGAGAGCCAGAGTGAGATCTTCCATCCTCTGGTTCACTTCCCAGATGGTTGTAACCAGGGCTGGGCCAAGATGAGGTCAGGAGCCAGAAGCTTCATCTGGGTCTCCCACAAGGGTGCAGGGGCCCAAGGACTTGAGCCATCGTCTGCTGCTTTTCCAGGCACATTAACAAGGAGCTGGGTCAGAAGTAGAGCAGCCGGGACCCAAACCGGCACATGTATGAGATGCCAACATTGCAGGTGGCGGCTTTACCTGCTGTGCCACAGTGCCAGCCCCTTTTCTTTCTTTTTAAAAATCAATTAATTATTTATGTATGCATTTTTAAAAATTTTATTTGGAAGGCAGAGTTACAGAGAGAGCGACTGGGAGAGAGAGCTCTTCCATCTGCTAATTCACAGCCAATTTGGCTGGGCCAGATAGAAGCCAGGAGCCCATAACTCTATCTGGTCTCCCACGTGGGTGGCAGGGCCCACGTACTTGGGCCATCTGCTGCTGCTTTCCCAGGCCCATTAGTTGGGATAGAAGGCAGAGCGGCCAGGACTGGAACCCGCATTCCTATTTGGAATATGGCTTAATCCACTGCACCTAACGCCAGCCCCATAGCCAAATGGCTCTTAAAAGTTGTGGCTTCTCCCATCTCCTTCCTCTCCATTCCCAGCAGGCCAGGTCCTGGGCCCAAGGACAGAGGGAGCCTCCTGACCCCCGCCGGCCTCTGTGGGTGGGTCCATGGGAAGCAGCCGTCTAAGGTTCCCCAAGTGCCCCCTCTTACTCCAGGCAATATCTGAGTGGTGGGGGGAGCAGGAAGCAGGGCTTGGGATGCTGACCCCTGCCTGCTGCCCCCTCCACACCCCGCCCAGGCTGACCCCGGCCCACAGCAGAAAGACCGTGCGCAACTCCCGCATCGTCAGCCAGAAGGCCGACGTCCACGTCTGCATCATGTGCTTGCGTGCCATCATGAACTACCAGGTGAGCCGGTGGGCGGGACCTGGGACCGGCTCTCCCTCTAGCCTGTCCCCCCACCGGGAAAGCCCCGGGGCCCCGGGCTGTCGGCTCAGGTCCTGAGATGATGAGTGCTGGGGAGTCCGGTGCATAGGGAGGGCCCTTTCGTAGCCTTGGACATGACGGGGGCGTGGATGGGCTGGACGGTGAGGACTGAAGGCTGAAACCGGGTCCCCCCTCGCCTGGCCGCCCTGTAAGGACTCACCGTGTTTGAGGTGCCTGGCGCTGGTTCTTTGGCCATGGCGGGAGGCGCTGACCTCTGCTCTCTCCCCAGTCTGGCTTCAGCCTCGTGATGAACCACCCGGCCTGTGTCAACGAGATCGCGCTGAGCCTCAACAACAAGAACCCCAGGTGAGGGCCATGCCCCCGACTTTCTTAATTCTCCTTGTGCCGCTCTGTGCGGACTGTCACCCACCCAGGCTCTGCCACCCAGGCTCCGGCCACCCAGGCTCTGCCACTGGCACCAGCAGCTCCGTGTCCCGGGGCCAGGCTCCCCCTGCCCTTGCCTGCTCTCGGGGGACCACCTGCCCTGTCTCCCCAGAACCAAGGCTCTGGTGCTGGAGCTGCTGGCGGCCGTGTGCCTGGTGCGGGGCGGACACGACATCATCCTCGCGGCCTTTGACAACTTTAAGGAGGTACCGGAGCCCCAGCCGGCCTGCACTTTCCCCGTGGTGTCCCTTGGGGTCCTGTTGCTGGCGGGTACGGAGACTCTGGTGGGTTTTTGGGGAACTCAGAGGATGATCCGGGAAGGAACATTCTGGAAGAAGATGCAGAGTCAGGTGGGGACACTGCCTGCGGTGACAGGGCCACCGTGGGGATCTGCGGAGCCTTCGCCCCTCAGCCTGATCCTGCCTGAACCGGATCCCTATGGCCTGGCACCGCTGGCTCTGGATACCTGGGAAGGTGGTCACTCACTCCTTAGTTCCTGGTCGCTGAGTGCCCACTCTGTGTGAGCGCGACACCCAGAAGCCAGAGATGGCCCCTAAGTGATATAGCAAGCAAGCAGACCACAGGGCGTGTCAGGGAACAGTGGGGAAGACATCAGGGCACTGCAGGGGAGGGGGGGGGAGGAGGCAGCGGGGTCGGGCAGCCAGGGTGTGGCGAGGCCACTCTCCTGAGAAAGGGCACACCAGGCAGTCGGAACAGCAGTGCAAAGGCCCTGAGGTGGGGACGTGCCGGATGCTGGTGTAGCCAGAGTGGCGTGAGGGTGCGGGGGACATGGGAACAGACTGAGAGGGAGTGGGTGTTTTTCAATTAATTCATTAACTTTATTTGAGAAGCAGAGAGAGACACACAAACAGAGGTCTCCTATTTGCTGGTTCACTCCCCAAATGCCCACAACAGCTGGGACTGGGCCAGGCCAAAGCCAGGAGTCCAGAAGTCCATCCAGGTCTCCCACGTACTTGAGCCGTCACCTGCCGCCTCCCTGGGTGCACATGAGCAGGAAGCTCTGATTCGGATCAGCCAGCCTGGGGAGGCACGGGGCTGGGGGGAGGGGCAGCAGCAAAGGCCGGCATCCTGGCTGAGAACCGTTCTCCGCCCAGGTGTGTGGGGAGCAGCACCGCTTTGAGAAGCTGATGGAGTATTTCCGGAACGAGGACAGCAACATCGACTTCATGGTGAGTGTGGCAGCCCCGAGGGCTGAGGGCGGTGCCCCCGGGGCGCAGGGAACAGCTCTGGCCTGCTCTCCTGGCCTCTGGCACCACACTGTGTGAGGACTGAGTGGGAAATCTAGGGGGCAGGGCTGGGCCGAGGGAACCTGCAGGTAAAACACTGCTAGGGACAAAGCTGGGTTTGTGGAGAGGGAGGGAGACTTTGGGGCAAGTCTATGGGGGGTGAAGGCACGGAGCACCCCCCCAGGGTTGTGCACCTGCTCCTGTGCCCCGCCCCCAGGTGGCCTGCATGCAGTTCATCAACATCGTGGTGCACTCCGTGGAGAACATGAATTTCCGTGTCTTCCTGCAATATGAGTTCACCCACCTGGGCCTGGACCTGTACTTGGAGGTGAGCTCTGCACTGCCCCCAGGCAGAACCCCCGCCCACTGCGAGTGTAGCTGAGCGACCAGCCTGGGTGCACATCCTGCCTCTGATACTTCCCGGCCATGTGACCTTGGATGAGTTTCTCCCTCTCTCTGAGTCTCAGTCTTCCCATCTGTCAAATAGGATCACAGAGGTTGTAATGACTGCAAGTGTCCAGAACCGTGCCTTGTGCTGTCACAGGCACTGGGGCAGGCTCAGGATGCCCCGGGAATGACAGCTCCAGACGCAGGCTCTGCCTCCAGCACATAGTGGGGAGCCCAGAGATCCTGGGAGGCAGGAGGGCCGCCTCGTGCCAGATGGGTCAGGGCAGGGCAGGGCAGGGCAGGCAGAGGTGTGCCTGCTTCCTGGCCCAGGCTGAGCAGAGGAGCTGAGCTTCTCCCCCCAGGCCTCTGGGAGGGACGGGCTCTTTGGGACTGGATCTTTGAAAGCCAAAGAGAACTAGAGGGGAAGAGCATACAGGGCCAGTGAATCCAGACAATGGACTATTCCTCATTCATGAAAAAGGACTGAGCTGCAACACGGGCGAGCCTTGAAAACATTACGCCAGCAGCCAGGCTCCAACCCCACATCTGGTGCTTTCATATGAGCTGTTGTCCGAGTGGAAGAATCCAGAGAGACTAAGAGACTGGTGGTGACCAGGCACCAGGGGAAAGGAGATTGGGGAGCGACTGCCAACAGCTACAGGGGCTCTCTTTTAAAATACATTTTATTTCTTTGAAAGGCAGAGAAAGACAGAGATCTTGCATCTGCTGGTTCATTTCCCAAATGCTTGCAACAGCAAAAACCAGCAGCTGAAACCAGGAGCCTGGAACTCCATTCGGGTGTGCAGATGGGTGGCAGGGACTGGTGGGAAGCTGGATCAGACGTGGAGCCGGGGCGTGAACACAGGGACTCCTAGCTGGGTCTTAACCCCCAGGCTCCTTACTAAAGGGTGATGGAAGTGTTCTGGAGTTAGGTAGTGGTGATGGCTGCCCAAGCTCGTGAATGTGCTAGAAGCGGCTGACTTGTACGTGTTGAAACGGTGCCTTTCGTGGAATGTGAGTTAGCTCTCAATAACAAGGAGACAAAGGCAGGCCCCTTCCTCCGTGGGTGCCTGAGTTGGGGGGGTTGGGAGGATCTCCCCCCACGGAGCCTCACCTGGCTCTTTCTGCCTGGGGACAGCGGCTCCGCCTCACGGAGAGCGACAAGCTGCAGGTGCAGATCCAGGCGTACCTGGACAATGTGTTTGATGTGGGAGCCCTGCTGGAGGACACCGAGACCAAGAACGCGGTGCTGGAGCACATGGAGGAACTGCAGGAGCAGGTGGCGCTGGTGAGAGCGGCCCCCTTCAGGCCCGCCCAGCACCCGCAAGCCCCTAGGACCAGGCTGTGGTGGCCTCTCCCCTCCCCCCAGGCACCAGGCTCTGACGCAGGACTAGGTGTGGGTGGGAGTTGGACGTGGGTGCAAATCCAGAGTCCCTTGGCTGTCTTGGTGAGTGTTCAGCCAGCGCCCCCCCCCGGGGAGGGGGGGCTGCACCTGTGCCCAGGCAGGCCCCTCTGCCGGGGCTCAGACCCCAGGCCCCAGCTTAGGTGAACCAGAGCCCTACCAGCTCGGACTCCTCCTCTGCACACACCTCCCTGGGCAGTGGGCCTTGCTTCCCCGTCCCCCCATTGACTACTTGTTCCAAGCTCCAGGCTCAGCCCGCCCCTGGCAGGCAGGCTTGCCTGCTGCCGCCCCCTCACCGGCGGTGCCAGTGCCGGGCCGGCGAGTAGCTCACCATGTGCCGGTATCGCAGCTGACAGCGCGGCTCCGGGACGCTGAAAACGAATCTATGGCCAAGATCGCCGAACTGGAAAAGCAGCTAAGCCAGGCCCGCAAGGAGCTGGAGACCCTGCGGGTGAGCTGCGGGCGGGCCAGGCTCCTAAGCCCAGGCCGGCTGGGGCGCCCGAGCTTGCTGTCCCTCCTCCCCGGGCAGGGCGGGGTGGGGGGGCTCTGCGCCAGGAACCTGCTGCTGACCCCTCCCCTGGGAATCACAGGAGCGCTTCAGCGAGTCAACCGCCATGGGCGTCCCCAGACGTCCCCCCGAGCCTGAGAAAGTGCCTCCCCCCGCCCCGGCGCGGCCCTCTGCGCTCGAGCTGAAGGTGGAGGAGCTGGAGGAGAAGGGGTTAATCCGTATCCTGCGGGGGCCTGGGGATGACGTCTCCATTGAGATCCTCCCCGGTGCTGTGGCAACTCCCAGCGTTGGTGACGGTGATGCTGCGACTCCGGGGGTGCCCGCCGGCTCCCCCAGCCCAGGTGCGTGGAAGCTTCACGCCGGGGGGCGAGGAGACGAGGGAGGGGGACAGCCGGGGGGGGGGGGCTGGGACATCGCCGCGGGTCCGGAGGGGGACTTTCGGAGCATGGGCGTGGCGCAGGTGGGTGCGGGTGGGTTGACATGTACCCCATACGCATGCGTGGGGCTGGGAGGCAAAGAGGAGACCCTTCTCCAACCCCAAGCCAAGAAGTTGAGACCACCCTCCTTCCCCGGCCGAGTTCAGGTCTCCCACCTGCGGCAGAAACAGTTCAGGGAGCAGCACCGCCGCCGCGGCCACCACCACCACCACCGCCCCCACTGCCCGGTCTCCCCCAGCAGCAGGAAGCCCCGCCCTTGACGCCCCCTCCGGCCCCGCCCCTCCTGGGCAGCCCTGAGCCCCCGCCCGCGCCGCCACTGCCAGGAGATGTGCCGCCCCCACCGCCGCCGCCACCTCCGCCTCCTGGCACTGATGGGCCTGTGCCTCCGCCACCCCCACCGCCTCCGGGAGGTCCCTCGGATGCCCTTGGAGGGCCTGGCCCGGAGATGGGCCCAGGTGAGCCGAGTGGGCCGCCTCGGGCTTGGGGAGAGGGGGAGACGGCTTTGGGCCTCGTGTTCAGCAGGGGGATCCACTATCTAGCAGCCGTGCACCTGCTCTGTCAGGCCTTGGGGTGGGGGTGCTGAGGCAGGGTAGGGGGAGCTCACCACTCTCTGGCATCTCAGGAGTGAAGGCCAAGAAACCTATCCAGACCAAGTTCCGGATGCCGCTCCTGAACTGGGTGGCCCTGAAGCCCAGCCAGATCACAGGCACCGTGTTCACAGAACTCAACGACGAGAAGGTGCTGCAGGTGGGTGTGGCTTGCCTGCTCCCCGCGTGGACACTGGAGGAGGCTCCCAGGCACTGGCCATGGCCATCTTCTCCACCCCATTCTACAGATGGGGACGTAGAATGAGGCAGACTGGACAGTGCAGCCAGCAGTGGCCTCACTCCCCAGAGGCTTGCCCCCCCGCCCCCAGCCTGGCCTCTCTGTCCTCTCAGCCCCGTCTGGTCATTTTCCCTGCAGACCGGCAGGCCGGGGCTTCAGCTCCCCTGATTCCACGTCCAGTGTGCCTCCCAGCCGCCACCGCGGCCGTTCCCTCAGCCTGCCACACTCTTCCCTGTGCCGTTGACCGCTGGCCAGTTTAGCCTCCCCTTAAGCTTCGAAGGCCCTGCCTGCTTGGTCCCATGGGTTAGGTGGTCATCGTCTTCGTCCGCCCTCTCCTCCCCTGAGCTGTTTGAGCTCGCCCTGTGCCCCCGTCAGGGCTGTGATCAAGCTGGGTTCCTGGTTGGTTCCCCTGCTGCTGGCCCAGCACAGGGCTCAGCCAGGCCCGCCGCCTCTGCCCACCCCGTCAGGAGCTGGACATGAGCGAGTTTGAGGAGCAGTTCAAGACCAAGTCCCAAGGCCCCAGCTTGGACCTCAGCGCCCTCAAGGGGAAAGCAGCCCAGAAGGCGCCCAGCAAGGCGACGCTCATTGAGGCCAACCGGGCCAAGAACCTGGCCATCACCCTGCGCAAGGGCAACCTGGGCGCTGACCGCATCTGCCAGGCCATTGAGACGTGAGTCCCCGCCCCCAGCCCCCTGCCAGGCTGGGGCATCGGGCAGACCCTGGTGAAAGAGCCGCATACCAGCCCCAGTCAGGGAACCGTGGCCCCATTTCTGGGCTGAGAAAACTGGGTCATCCTGGGAGTCCATGCCTGGATGGAGGCTTCCTCCCTGCCTCCGCCCACCGCGGGCACCTGCCATGGGGGGAAGACGGAGACCTGATGTCACTCGACTCCCACCTCTTGCTCATTTGATACTCATGGCAAATACTGGGGGGGTCCCTCATTCAATCGGGACGGGCACTCTTGGGGCGACACCCACTCCTCCCTGGCCTGCTACACACAGGTACGACCTGCAGGCCCTTGGCTTGGACTTCCTGGAGCTGCTGACCCGCTTCCTGCCCACGGAATACGAGCGCAGCCTCATTGCCCGCTTCGAGCGGGAGCAGCGGCCGGTGGAGGAGCTGTCGGAGGAGGACCGATTCATGCTGCGTTTCAGCCGCATCCCACGGCTGCCCGAGCGCATGGCCACGCTCACCTTCCTGGGCAACTTCCCGGACACGGCCCAGCTGCTCATGCCGGTGTGGGCGGGGCTGGCAGGGTGGTGTGGCCTGGGTGGGGGCAAGGGGGAGGGCAGCTCCTGTCTGGGGGTGGGGGTGGGGGCCCAGAGGGCAGCGGGCATACTGGAGCCTCCTGGTGGAGAGGCCCCCACTCACCTTACCACCCCCATGCCGCCCCCCAGCAACTGAATGCCATAATTGCAGCCTCCATGTCCATCAAGTCCTCAGAGAAACTCCGCCAGATCCTGGAGGTGAGTGCTGGGGGGAGGGGCGTGCAGGTGGGGGCCACCTTGCCCGTTCTGGGTAGTGTGAGAGGGGGCCCCAGGCCCGGCCCACCTTCCAGGCAACAAAGATCATGTTCCTGCTTCTTGCATCCCTTCCCAGGGCAGAGCGGGGGTGGGGTGGGGACGGGCCAGGGCGGCCATGGCTTGACAGTGACAGAGCCCCAGCGTCCTCTGGGGACTGCCTTGAGGGGCGGTGGGGAGTCTGAGAACCCGTGGCCCCAGGCTTGGGAGTTCATGCTGGCAACACTGTTCTGGGTTGGACTAGCAGAGGACAAAACTGGGTGTGCCCTGGTGGTCACTGTGCCCATGTGACGTCACGGACCTCAGGGGTCCGTGCAGCAGCACAGGGGCTGCTCTTCGCTGCCTTTCTCCTTGTGCCGATCTCGCTCCCACTGACTCCCTCCCTCGCTCTTGCTCTCCCCAGATTGTGTTGGCCTTTGGCAACTACATGAACAGCAGCAAGCGTGGTGCAGCCTACGGCTTCCGGCTCCAGAGCCTGGATGCGGTGAGGCAGGGGCGCTGGCCTGGGGGCTGGGGGCTCGCTGGCGGCCTGTGGCTTACGAAAGGGGCTCCTGCAGCTGCTGGAGATGAAGTCGACGGACCGCAAGCAGACGCTGCTGCACTACCTGGTGAAAGTCATTGCCGAGAAGTACCCGCAGCTCACGGGCTTCCACAGCGACCTGCACTTTCTGGACAAGGCGGGCTCAGGTCCGGGGGCGCGCGGGTCTGTGGCTGGGGGAGGGGCTGGATGGAGTGCTGTCTGACTCCACGCTGTCCCCCACTCTGCCCCCTCAGTGTCCCTGGACAGCGTCCTGGGCGACGTGCGCGCCCTGCAGCGGGGCCTAGAGCTGACACAGCGCGAGTTCGTGCGGCAGGACGACTGCGTGGTGCTCAAGGAGTTCCTGCGGACCAACTCGCCCACCATGGACAAGCTGCTGGCAGACAGCAAGACTGCGCAGGTGCGCTGGCCCGGCCCTGCAGGGGCGGGGCTGAGGGCCGGGCCAAGAGGGGCTTGCCAGAGCTGCGCCGGCTACAGACACTGGCCGGTGGCCTGGAGGGGTGTGGCCACCGCTGGGACCCCTGGTGGAGACAGGGCTGGATGAGCTGCCTGAGGGCTCCGTGGGGGCGGGGCTGATGGGCTGTGCCCCCAGGAGGCCTACGAGTCGGTGGTGGAGTACTTCGGCGAGAACCCCAAGACCACGGCCCCCTCCACCTTCTTTTCCCTCTTCAGCCGCTTCACCAAAGCCTACAAGGTACGTGTGTCTGGGAGCAGGCTGGTGGCCCTGGGGGCACTCCACAGGGGCGGGGGGGGGGGGGGCGGGGGAGCAGCCGGGAACGCTGTCCTCACGGCGCCGGCCCCTCAGAAAGCTGAGCAGGAGGTGGAGCAGTGGAAGAAGGAAGCGGCGGCCCAGGAGGCAGGCGCCGACCCGCAGGGCAGCGGGCAGCCCCCAGCGCCCAAGGTAGGCGGCCGCTCCACGCGCCGAGGACGCCCGGGTGTGCCCCACCCCCCCCGCCATTGACAGACCCTGGCGAGGATGGAGCGCTTCCTCCTGCTCTAGCCAGTGGCCCTTGCTGGGGGGAGGGGGATTGTTGGGGTGGGGCCACCAGGAGCTGAGGCTCTGCCTTCCCCTAGTCCCCACCCAAGGCTCGGCGCCAACAGATGGACCTCATCTCTGAGCTGAAACGGAAGCAGCAGAAGGAGCCGCTCATCTACGAGAGTGACCGTGACGGCGCCATCGAGGACATCATCACGGGTGAGGGGCCGGGCCCGCTCTGACCTCGTCTGGCCTCCTGTGCTGTCTCCTCTGACCATCCTCGCCCCCCCGGGGTGTCTGACTGCTTTGCTACCTTGCTACCTTTGCTGTTTTTTTTCTTTCCATTTTCCTCTCTGCCCCCACCTCCCCCCAACCCTCAGTGCTCAAGACGGTGCCCTTCACGGCCCGCACCGGCAAGCGGACATCCCGGCTCCTCTGTGAGGCCAGCCTGGGAGAGGAGATGCCCCTGTAGCCCCCCAGGTACCCCAACAGCCTGGTGCTGCACAGCCCTGGGGACCCTTGGGGGAAGTGGGTCAGGCCACCCTTGCCTGGGCCACTGCATGCCTGGGACGTGTTAGACGGTGGGTGTGACAAACAAGTGCCTCCTCCCACCTGCCCACAACCCTGACCTGGGAAGGGTACCTTGGGCCCTGGCGCGCTGGCCCAGCCCCCGGTCTTCTCTGGCCCCCAGATCTGCGGAACCAGCCCTACATCCGCGCAGACACAGGCCGCCGCAGTGCTCGCCGGCGACCTCCGGGACCCCCCCTGCAGGTCACCACCGACCTCTCCCTATAGCCGCTGTTTCTGCAGGTTGATAGTGCAGGGCCCGGTGTGGGTGTGTGTGTTGGGGGGGATGGGGCTGTGGACAGGCTGAGGCTCCAGACGGTGGCTTTTCCGCGGTCTGCCTGCCCTGGAACCACCTCAAATGGAGCGGAGCCTCCGCTTCTCGCCACACAGAGGGCAGCCTCGCCGGCCCTTCCCCAAATGCTACCTGTGGCACTCCCCACCGCCCCTAAATAGCCACAGTCAGCGGGAGCCGGCCTGTAAATTATAAAGTGCACCTCGCCCCCGCCCCCGCGCCAAGGACTCTCCTTGGACCTTATTTTTATACAAGATTAATAAAGATGTTTGCAAAAGATCCGCGTCGGTTCCGTGCCCGCCCCCAGCACGCACAGCCGGTTCCGCTTAGCAAACGCTTTACTTATGCCAGCTTTTCATCGCGGGTCGCCGCACACAGGTTGGCGAAGGGGACAGGAGCTGCTTCTGCGCCAGAGTCGGCGGAGAGGGAGCCAGCTTCCAGGGCTGCCGGTGCTCCGGCAGCTGGCTCCGGGGCCCTGCGGGTGCGGGAGGCGTGCGGAGGGTTAAATGCGCAGCTGCAGGCCCGACGCGCGCCTCCGCCTCCTGCCCGCCCCGTTTCCCCCATCCCACCTACTACCTGGGAACCTGGCCGCGTTTCTGGGCCCGTGAGTGATCTCGGTTCACACCTCCGCCCGTCCCGCCTCCAGCTGCACCTGCCGCGCCCGCTGGCACCCGCCAGCCACGCCCATCCGTCTGCCCCGCCTGCGCTCCGTCTGCCCCGCCTGCGCTCCGTCTGACCCGCCCCTTCTACCTCCGCGCCGCTCTCCCAGCCTTTCCCCGCAGCCGCGTTCCCCGGCTCTCACCTTGGCAGAGCGGCCCCAGGTTACTCCCGAGCTTGGGGCGGCTGAGTTGGCGGCGCTTGGGCAGTCGGACGTCGGGGCGAGGGGTTCCGCCCGGCGTCCTGCGTTCGGGCCGCGTGCGCCCCGCCAGCTTTGGTATCTGAGAATAAGGGCTGCGCGCACCTGAGACAGGCACGTGGGGAAAGGCGGAGACGGGGCCAGTCCTGGGAGTGGGTCCTCGGGAGCGGGGGCCGGTGCTGGGCGTGCTGTGTGACTGGAAGGGCCCCCCTCCCGCCGGTCTCTCCCCGCCCGGCCCGGGGCGCACCCGCCTGGTGCAGTCGCTGCAGCGAGCGCGCCAGCTCCGCGCTGGAGAGGCCGGTGAGGCGTGCGGCCTGGCAGAAGAAGTTGGGGCCCGCGCGGGCGCGCGCCGGGCGGCCCTGGCCGCGAGACCCGCACTTCCAGCCGGGGCTGCCTCGCAGAGTTCGCTGCTTCTTGAAGTAGTAGCTTGGGAGGGAAAGGTGGGGCACCCGCCTCAGAGTCCCCTCCCTGGCTCCTGATTCTGTGGCCTGGAGAAGATGGAGCCCAGGAATCTGCCCCGGGGAACGGGGCGGGGTCTGCTCCCCCGACCCTGGGCCCAGAGCTGAGTGCGGCTGTGCCCACCTCATCACCTCCTGCCCGGTCTTGGGGGGCACCAGGCCCTGGGTCAGCAACTTGAACAGCATCTCTAAGAACAGGGTCTGCAGGCCCTGGGGGTCGTGGACCCGGCTGCTTCTCACCTGACCTAGGACAGAGGAAGAGGGCAGCGTGAGAAGAGGGGCTTCCTCCAGGCCAGGACCACCCGAGTGCCCCCGGCCTTGCCCCTCACCCATGCACTGAGCCAAGCGGTGGTCGTCAGTGAGGACGCCCAGGAAGTCTTTGAAGCTGACGATTCCGTCACCTGGGAGGAAGAGGGGGGCTGCTGCCGGTTGCTGCCCTGCGCTGGCTTAGGGGTTTGGCAGCAGCACCAGGTGTTAGAGAAGCCTAGGGTGGACCCCACTGTGGTTGGGGGTAAAGAACCTTTTCCCAAGTCAGGATGAGGATTAACACAGCAAGGATGGCCATGAGACAGGTGTATTGATCAGGGCAGGCTTCCCGGAGGAGGGAACCTTAAAGTAAAGCCAGGGAGTTTGTGGGCAGGGGAGGCGCTCGTCGGCGGAATGCCTCGAAGTGGGAGCGGGCAAGAGGGCAGGGACGGCGGTGCCCACCGTCCAGGTCTGCCTGCCGCAGGGCCTCACACATCTCCTGCGGACTCAGCTGGATGCCCGCGTTGTGCAGGGCCACTTTGATGCTGCGCATGTCCACCGTGCTGGTCAGGCTGGAGCTGAACAGTCTGAAGACGTCCTGGAAGGCTGAGGGTACAGGGCGGGCAGCAAGGTGAAAGGCTCTCCCGGGGACCTGCCCGCTCGGCCCCGGGGGCACTGACAGCTTGGGTCACCGGCGCCCCCGAGGGTTGTAGTACAGAGGACAACAGCGGCTGCTGTGTGTTGACGCTTGTCAAGAGCTCACTCAACGTTTCTGTCTGAAAAACGTTCAAGAGTCAAGTCCAAGGTCACACCTGCCAGGCCTGGCTTTGAGCCCTGCTGGTGCTGGGCACGTAGCAGACACGGAACACTGTTGATGATGACAATGATTCTGCTCTGAGCGGCCCCTGCCAAAATCAGGACCTGATCTTTGGGGAGCCTTGGGCCAGGGGTTCCTTCTGCCCCTGCCCCCGCAGCCCAGACCCAGCGCAGCCAGGGATCTCGGATTCTTTCTCCCGTCTTTTTCCATCCTGTCCATTCATCCATTTGTTCAAATACTTCCCTTCACCTCCCCACCGATCCATCCAGCTTTCCTTCGCTGCACACAGCCCCCTCTATGGGCAGACACATCCGGGAGCCCTTGGGTTGTAGAGATGAGCAGATTCGACCAGCACAGAGAGCAAGTTACAAACACTGGCTTCCTGTGGTAGTCCCAGCTGCAGGCTGGCACCCTGCTGACTGTGGCCTGAGCCTCTCCCAGCTTTTCTCCCTGGGGCCCTCACCTGCCAGCTGCCGGCATGTCAGGGGCTGCAGGCTCTCATCTGTCCAGCTGCCCCAGGGGAAGGAGTTGGGAAGACCTTTGCACCTTCTGCAGAAAGATACCAGGGCCAGCCGGGCCTCGCCCCCACCCGGCACCCCAGGCCTGCCTGCAGTCTCTCCCCTCACCTCTGAGACCTGGCATCTGGGCCTGACTGTGCTGGCTGGGCAGCTGAGGGGCCCTTGACTCCCCTGGCCGTCTGCGCCGTCCGTTCAGCCCTCGTGGCCATGGCTTCTGCGGGCTCCGTGCGCCTCGACAGGGCAGAACACTGCTGCACCCGCCCTTTCTGGGTCCTACCAGCCCCCTCCTCTCCTGGATCTCGGGTGAGCAGCCTTTGAGGCTTCCGTGGAGGCCTTCGGGGCAGGGAGAAGACAAGACAGAGTGGTCAGACTCCGGGGGACCTAGGACCAGGCCTGCAGGTGCCTGGTTCTCCATCTCCTGCCAGGACCTCCGCCCCAGACCACACCCATGGCCCTGCCCTAGGAGATCCTGGGGCGGAGCCTGGGCAGTGATGCCTGCTCCCGCCTCCCCCCTGGGGAGTGCTGGCCCCCTTACCTTCTCTGTGTCAACGCGGATCTCTTGGTCTTCTGCCCTCTGCTGCCTGAAAGGCAGAGTCACAGACTCTGAAGCTGGTCCTGTGCCTCAGACCCGCAGCCCCCAGGCTGCTTTGGTGGTGGCTTTTCTAAAAAATTATTTTTATTTATTTGAAAGGCAGAGAGAGAGAGAGAGGGAGAGGGAGAGGGAGAAGGAGAGAGACAGAGGATCTTCTATCTGCTGGTTCACTTCCCAAATGCCTGCAACAGCCAGGGCTGGGCCTGGCCAAAGCCAGGAGCCTGGAGCTCCATCCAGGTCTCCCACATGGTTGCAGGGACCCAGGCACTTGAGCCATCATCACTGTGCCTCCCAGAGTGTGCATGAGCAGGAAGCTAGAAATGGACTTGAACCCAAGCACATCCCAAGAGGCATCTTAACCACAGCACCGAACGCCTGTCCCTGTTTGGTGACTTTTTTTTTTTTTTTTTTTTAAACAAGCTAAACTTCCCCTTACCATACACTCCAGCAATCGCACACCTTGGGATCTACCCAGATGAACACTCTGTTCACACAAAACCCTGCACACAGATGTTCACAGCAACTTTATTTTGTCCTTGCCCAAACTCAGAAGCAACCAAGAGGTCCTTCCTAGTGTGTGGATCAGTGAGCTGTGGCCCATACGGACCAGGGGAGATGGCTCGGCACTAAGAGAAGTATGCTTTCAAGCCATGGAGCACAGGGGGCTCTCAGGCTTGTGGCTAGGACAAAGAGGCCCATCTGAAAAGGCCGCCACACTGCACGGTCCCAGCTTATTCTGGAAAAAGCATAGCTGTGCAGACTGTAGATGGAGCAGTGAGTTCAGGGGTCTGGGAGGGAGGAGGAACAGGAGCACGGGGGACCCTGTGCGTGGTGCCACCCTGTGCACTTGGCATGACACTTGTCCGAACCCATGGATGGTCCTGTGTGCGTGTGTGAAATGTACAGCCAGCTGAGGGTGTGTGAGCCTGTCTGTGTGGCATGGGACATGCATGGTCATGCGTGGGCTCTGCCTGAACTTCAAGGAGGCTCCAGCTCAAGGCTGAGCCTCCTGGGGGCCCAGTCCTTCAGCCTCAGTTTTTCCTTCAAACCCTGGACAGCTGCGAGTCCTTCCCCACGCCAGGCCCGCTCCGTGGAGACACAGGGAGAACTCCTTTCCCATAGTCCTGAGCCAGGGGCTACCCCTCAGATGATCCCGACATGCCCCTGGAAGCCCATTTCACAGCCTAAGACACTGAGGCCTCAGACAGGGCACTGCTCCCCCTACCACGACTCCTCAGGAGCGAGCTGGGGGTGAGACCAATGGCCAGGGAGAGCTGTGGCAGAGCCCTCAGGGGGCAGGCGGGGCTAGGGCGGCTACAAAACAGGGGGCGGGGGTGCACGTGTGGCATCCCTAAAAAACTGCGGCCGGGACACGGCAGCCAGGTGAGCTCACTGGTCCGGGGGCATTTGCGCAAAAAAGTCTGAGTGGGGTGAGCACTGGAGGCTTTAATCGTTCTGTCTAGTCATTTCTTGGGGGTGGAGGGGACGACAGCTTAAAATGGATTTTCAGCAATAATGGATTCCCTTTCTTGGTTCCCGGCACCGAGCTGCAACACAAGAGAGACAGAGTCACAGGGGCCCCAGCAGGGGGCTGGGGGACAGGGGGCAGTGGGGGTGAGGCGCCATCTCCTGCTGCACCAAGCCGGGCAGCTGGTGTTCTGTGTCCGCCTGTCCCCCGGAAGCAAGGGGTGCTGCATGGAGAGCCCCGTTCCTCCTTCTCCCCTGGACAGATGCGTCCAGGGCCCCAGGGCTGGCGCCATCGGGCTCCCAGCGGGGCAGACACGACCAGCCCAGGCGCTTCTGTTATGTGTGAGGCTGCTGCCCTGGGTGAGAAGCTTCCGGATGCCAGCACGACCCTTCCCGTTTTGAACCCAGGCCCCTACTCTACCCCTGGAATGCTCACCCTCCATGGTCCCAGGCCTCCTCTGGCCCTGGCCTTGGCACTGCACCCCAGTCTACCGGAACCTGGTTTCCAGCAGCCTTTATGAGGTCACTGAGGTCCAGCCGTCACTGAAGTCCATGTGCACCCTGCCCGGCCCCTCATTCCGCTGCGTACACGCTGCCCACACCTCCCAGCCCTGCCCTGGGTTAGGGGTGGGGGGAGCTGCGCGGTGGCCTCACTCACTCTTCCTGGGCTCCCTGAGGCTGGGAGGACCTGGCCGGTGGCTGGAGAAGCTCCACTTCCCCTTCAATGTTGGCCCGCTTAACCCCTGGCTTGCTGAAGTCAAGATAGTGGCCGGGGGACGCCTTGTCCTCTTGTATGTGGCCTTTCGGCAGCTCCTTGTGGGCTGGTGGCTTCTCTGCACGCGGTTCTGGGTCCCGCTTGTCCACAGCGGGCTGGGCAGGCTCTGGAGAAGGCTCCTCGGCCTTCTGGGGTGGAGCTTTGATCATGAGCTCCAAACTGGGCAAGTCCCTCTTGCTGGAGGAGGCCATGGCCAGGGAAGACGCAAAGCTGACTAGTTCTGGCAGACCGATGGCCGGCAGCAGCAGGGGGCCTGAGGACTCGCTGGGGTTTGGCGTCAGCCGGGGGTCTGTGGCTGGGAGATCCGGGTGGATGTTGGGGCGCTGAAGCTGCTGGCTGTGCTGGTTCTGTTGCACACTTCCCATCCGCTGCAGGCTGTGCTCCGAGGCCTGGATGAGCTTGTCTGCCCAGAAGAGGTGCTTGGAGGTCTGCACGCGGATGGAGCGGTGCTGGCCGGACCTCTGGACTTCCTCCGCCACGGGATCCAGGTCGCTCCACGGTGCGAATCTCTGAGGCGGGGGCAGTGCCTCCGGGCAGGGGTGGAGGGACTCGATCCTGTAGCCCTGCTGCAGGATGTCTTCACTACCTGAGTCCAAGTTGGTTGCCTGCCACGGGGGCTCTGTGTCCAGCCTGGTGTTGGCCTTGGCTTCTGGGTCCAGCTCCGACTGCAGCAGATCTGTCTCCAGCTCCTTCACTGGCTCCAGATTCGGGATTAGGTCCAGGTCTGGGACTGTGTCCAGGTCCTCTTCGGGTGGGGGCTTCTGCTCCAGCAATTCTGCCTCCAGCTGAAAGGGAGCAATTGGCAGCGTGAGGGGGCAAGAGCTGGGTGGGCCTGCCTTGGAGGTCCTTTCTGCCACCAAGCTTCTGTCCCAGCTCCGCCCAGGGCACCCTTGTCTCTTCTCAGAGACCTGCTTGGCACAGGGAAGCAACGTGGATGAGTGGGGCAGCCCCTGCTGGCCAAGCACCAGGACCCAGCATCATCAAAAGTAGGGGCTGGTTGGGATTTAGGGAAGATGGAGCTCAAACACCCTGCCCCTTGCCTACCATCCCCTGCATAGGCAGTGACCCTGCCCTCTCTTACCTCTAACTCTTCTTCTTGTAGCACCTGAGGTGGGTGCTGGCGGTGGGTGGAGTAATTCCTAAGACAGGAGGAGGCAGGTGGGTGGCTGGGATCCATGGGGCAGGTGGGGTGGCTCCAGGGAAGGGGGTCTACCAGGACCCCTGCTGTCCCCTGCCTTGAGGAGGGACTGCAAGGCGCATCCCAGCTCCTCCACTGCCCTGCCCCGATCCCACCAAGCACTCTGGAGAAGGGGCTCCAAGGAGTACAGGGAGCTCCCGGCTACTTGCCAATTCCTTCCCAGCCCCAAAGTGGGAGCTGGTTGGGTGGAGCCAGGCCCAGGACTCTCCTTTTTGCCAGGAGAGCGTTGCGGGCGGCCAATACGGGTCATTTGGAAAGCTGGTGCCCAGAAACTGGCTCCTTACTGGGGGCAAGGCCCCGAGCAGCACCCAGGGCCTGTGGTGGATCTCAAATGTCAGGGGCGCATGTGGGCTGGGGCCTCCCTGGGCTCTTCTCAGCCCTGGGCCTCCTCACCACTGGGACCCCTGGTCCTCTCCCTGCACCTGCCCACTCCCAGCTGGGATTGCTCTGCTCTCAGCAAGCAGGGCGGTCTGAGGGCCCGGTCCCGCCCATGCCCCTGGTGGGCCCCACCACCCTTTGGCCCTCCTCCCATGTCCCAGGCCGAGGTCAGAAACAGAAGGGGGCTGGCAGTCACCCTTCCCCCTTCCCTGGCCATGGGGGGAATTTGGAAAGGGCCAGAATGGAGGGAGATCTGGGTAGGGGGCCCATGGTGCTGGGGTGCAGCTGGAGGTCCTGCAGGGAGGTGCCTAGGCACGGGGCGGGGTTGGCTCTCACGGTATCTCCACAATCTCCACGGACTTCTGGCCACAGCAGGGAAACCCATTGGAACCTGTTGGAGAGAAGGAGGTGAGGGCAGCAGCAGCGGGGGCAGGGGCACCCCGGAGGGCTCTGGCGCCGGGCCCCCTCCTTTTCTCTCCCCTCAGCCCCCTGGAGGCCCCTCTCCCATCCTGTCCCTCCTGTCCTGCCTGGTTCTGGGATCGCATTAGAAGGCTGAGAGTGGGCCCTGGGCTCTCTCTGGGGCTGGTGAGGCTGAGAGTGCGCTGTATGCTGCATTCTTGAGAGTGCACAGGATTTCCACACAGACAACGATGGGGACCAAGGCTGCGTTGCTTGCCCTTTCTCTCGCTTCCCCTGGCTTGCCTCAGCACACCGGGACGAGCTCCATGCAATGTGGAAGAGAAGGCAGAGTGGAGGTCCAGGCTTTGCTGCTGAGCTTAGGGGAGATCCTCGAGGATTTGGCATTGAGTCTGACGTGAGCTGTGGCTTTCTTCATAGATGCCCTTCATCAGGTCAGGAAGTTATGTTTTCTGTGGGTTTTTTTTTTTTTTAGATTTATTTATTTGAAAGACAGAGTTACAGAGGGAGGGAGGGAGGGAGGGAGGGAGGGAGGAGGGAGGTCTTCCATCTGCTGGTTCACTCCCCAGATGGCTGCAACGACTGGAGCTGGGCCAATCCGAAGCCAGGAGCCAGGAGCTTCTTTTGGGTTTCCCACGTGAGTGCAGGGGCCCAAGCACTTGGGCCATCTTTCGCTGTTTTCCCAGGCTCTAGGAGACAGCTGGATTGGAAATGGAGCAGCCAGGTCTCGAACGGGCACCCATATGGGATGCCGGCACTGCAGGCAACAGCTTTACCCGCTATGCCACAGCGCCGGCTTACTGGCTAACTTTTACAGAATTTCCACGTACACAAGGTTGTCTTCAGAAATGGAAACTTGGAAAGAACTGGATGCATTTTAAAACTTACCCTCCCCCGGGGAATTTCTTCTTCCGTTCCACTTTCCCCCTGAGCCTTTTGAAGCATCCTCATGGCCCCGTGGGCTGCAGTTTTCTTGTCATGTAGTGTCTGTCGGGTTTGGTATGCGAGTAGTACTGGCCTCAGAGGATGAGCCGCAAAGCATTCTCCAATTTGTTCAAAGAGTTTGTGCAAATTGCGATGATTTTGCCCTTTCTGTTGGCCTGGAGCTTCCTTGGGGGAAGACTGTTGATGACACATTTAACTTTGAAGAGGGACATAGGGCGATTTAATCCATTTTTTCATGGTGGTAAAATAGATGTAACCTAAAGTTGAGCCTTTTAACTGTTTTTAGGTAATTTTTCTAATTGTCATTATTTGAGAGGCAGGGAGACCCAGAGAGAAAGACACACAGAGCTATCTCTAAAGCCAGGGGCCACTTATCCAGGGCTCCCCTGGTGGGGGTGGGAAGGAACCCCATTACTTTGAGCCATCACCGCTGTCTCAGGGTTTGAGCTAGCGAGAGGCTGGGGTCAGGAGCTGGAGATGAGTATCAAAAGCAGGCGCTTGGGTGTGGGATGTGGGTGTCCCGAGCGGCACTGGGGCCACACGCCTGCCCCTGTCACCTCCCTGCTCCAGAGTGTCTGCTTCTTTTTTCATTGGCTTCCAGAGTTTGTATCTTTTAAGGAATTTGTCAAATTTGCTGGCGTAAGTTGTTCAGCACACTCCCTATCACCCATCTCATGCGTGCAGGTTTCCATGACGTCATCTCTTCCATTCCCCAGCATCCCCCCCCCAACCCCGCCCCGTCCTGCTCAGTTTGGCTGGAGATTCAGCAGCTGATCTCAAAGAGCCAAGCTGTGGTTGCACTGGTTTTCTCTGTTGCCATTCTGCCTTCTTGTCATTGGTTGCCACTTAGATTTTTATTATTTTTCTTTCCCGCCCCAGGCTTCTTAGGGTGGAAGCTGCAGTCACGGACTCAAGACCTTCCGTCCTTGCTGTTGTAGAAGTTTGCTGCTGTCGCTGGGACTGCAGGCCACCAATGCTGATACTGTGTTTTCAATTTCTTGTGTGTGTGTGTGTGTGTTTTTTTTTTTTTTTTTTGACAGGCAGAGTGGACAGTGAGAGAGAGAGACAGAGAGAAAGGTCTTCCTTTGCCGTTGGTTCACCCTCCAATGGCCGCCACGGCCAGCGCACTGTGGCCGGCGCACCGCGCTGATCCGATGGCAGGAGCCAGGTACTTCTCCTGGTCTCCCATGGGGTGCAGGGCCCAAGCACTTGGGCCATCCTCCACTGCACTCCCGGGCCACAGCAGAGAGCTGGCCTGGAAGAGGGGCAACCAGGACAGAATCCAGCGCCCCGACCAGGACTAGAACCTGGTGTGCCGGCGCCACAAGGTGGAGGATTAGCCTAGTGAGCCGCGGCGCCAGCCTCAATTTCTTTTTTTAAATATTTTATTTATGTGAAAAAGCACACCCGAGAGACATCTTCCATCTGCTGGTTCATTCCCTAGATGGCTGCAACAGCCAGGGCCAAGCCAGGCCAAAGCCAGGAGCCAGGAGCCAGGAGCTTCTTCTGGGTCTCCCATACAGGTGCAGGGGCCCTAGCACTTGGGCCATCTTCCACTGCTTTCCCAGGCCACAGCAGGGAGCTCGATGGGAAGTGGAGCAGCCATGTGGGACGCTCGTGCTGCAGGTGGTAGCTGTACCCACTTAGTTACAACATCAGCCCCTGTAATTTCAATTTTCATTCTGTTCACAAAACTTTCTAATTTTCATTGTAATTTCTTCTTTGACATTTGAGTGAAGTGTACTACTCAGAAGTGCACTATTTTTTAAATATTTGGGGGATATTCCGGTTATCTCTCTCTTACGGATTTTTAATTCAAGACCATCACGGTCAGAGAGCATATGAAGTATGATTTGAATCTTTTAAAATTTATTGAGACTTTTTTTTTTAAAGAGAGACAGACAGACAGAAGGGGAGAGAGAGCTCCCATTCACTAGTTCACTCCCAACATGCCCACAGTGGCTGGGGCTGGGCCAGGCTGAAGCCAGGAGCCAGGAACTTTATCCAGCTCTCCCACGCACGTGGCAGGGAATCAAGTACTTGGGCCATCACTGCTGCCTCCCGAGGTCATCACTAGCAGGAAGGTGGTATTGAGAGAGGAGCCAGGACGCGAACCCAAGTATGCTGATATGGGATGCAGGCTTCTTAACTGGTATCTTAGCCACTAGGCCGGGCATCTACCCCTGGGGCATTAAAAAATACTGCTTATGCTTATTTATTTGAAAGGCACAGAGAGAAGGGGAAAAGAGGGAGATGGGGAGAGAGGGAGGGAGGGGGGGAGAGAGAGAAGGAGAGAGGGGGAGAGGGATAGAGAGAGGGAGAGAGGGAGGGAGGGAGAGAGGGAGAGAGGGAGAGAGAGAGTGAGAAGGAGAGAGGAAGGGAGGGAGAGAGAGAGGGAGAGAGAGAGAGAGGGAAGGAGGGAGGGAGAGAGTGAGAGGGAGAGAGGGAGGGAGGGAGAGAGAGAGAGTGAGAGAGGGAGGGAGGGAGGGAGAGGTCTCCTGCTGGTTCACTGGTTCACTCCCTGAATGCCCACAACAGCCAGGGCTGGGCCAGGCCAAAGATGGGAGGAGCCAGGAACTCAATCTGGGTCTCCCACATGGGTGCCAGGGACCCAGGTACTTGAATTATCACCTGCTGCCTCCCAGGGTTCACATTAGCAGGGAGCTGGAATTGAAGCTAAGCCTAGACTGGGACCCAGGCGCTCTGATGTGGGATACGGGTGTCCCAGTGGCGCCTTAACTGCTGTGGCCGACGCTTGCCCCTGAGCTTTTTTCCGGTGGCCCACATGTGAGCGATCTCGTGAGCTTGAACAGAATGTGGATTACGCGCTTGTCGGGTGGAGTGTTCTGTAAGTAAACGACAGTGAAGCCGTGTGGCAGGTGTAGCAGTCGCAGCTTCTACAGCCCTGGGGCTTTGTCTGTTTATTCTATCGACTGCTGAGGCAGGAGCGCTGACACTTCTACCCACAAGGGTGGATTTGTCCGCTTCTCCTGGCAGTTCTACCCGTTTCTGCATCTTGAAGCTGTGGCGTTGGGTGCAGAAACAGTTGGGACAGTTGTATCCTCCTGATAACTGATCCATTTATCATTATGAAACGACACCACCCATCTCTGGCAATATTCTTTGATCCAAAACCTACTTTGAGTGATGTTAACGTGGCGCTCCAGATGTCTTATGAGTGGTCTTGGCATGGGCTATCTTTTGTATCCTTTCACTTTTCTAACCATCTTGTGTCTTTATGGCTAAACTAGGTTTTAAGGGGTGGGCCTTCGGCACAGTGTTAAAACACTGCTGGGGACGCATCCTACATTGTGGGGTTCACTGTGTGATTCCAGCTTTCTGCTAAGCGTGTACCCTAGGAGGCAGCAGGCGATGGTTCGAGTCACTGGGTCCCTGCCACTGACCTGGGAGACCCATATTGAATTCAGGCCTCCTGGCTTTGGTCTGGCCCGGCCCTGGCTGTCTCAGGCATTTGGAGGGTGAACCAGAAGGTGGAAAATCTGTCTCTCCGACTTTCAAACCAAACACAAAATAAATACAGCAAGCCAAACCAGATTCAACTTTAAAAATATGTAAAATAAAATAAGTTTCCAATTGGTAGCATATAGTTAAGGCTTGCTTCTTTTTTATCCCTTCTGCCAATGTTTGCCTTTAACATCGACTGGGAGCAATGGGGCTGAGTTGGCCATCTTGCTATTTGCTTTCTACTTTTCCCATCCGTTCTTTGCTCTCCGTTTTTGATGCCTTGTTTTGGATTATTATTATTTTTTTTGACAGGCAGAGCGGACAGTGAGAGAGAGAGAGACAGAGAGAAAGGTCTTCCTTTTGCCGTTGGTTCACCCTCCAATGGCTGTCGCACTGCGGCCGGCGCACCACGCTGATCCGATGGCAGGAGCCAGGTACTTCTCCTGGTCTCCCATGGGGTGTAGGGCCCAAGGACTTGGGCCATCCTCCACTGCACTCCCAGGCCACAGCAGAGAGCTGGCCTGGAAAGGGGGCAACCAGGACAGAATCTGGCACCCCGACCAGGACTAGAACCCGGTGTGCCGGCACTGCAAGGCGGAGGATTAGCTTGGTGAGCCGCGGTGCCGGCCTGGATTATATATTTTTATCATCCTATTTTATCTTTCCTGTTGGCTTTTCTTAGGTATAACGCTTTGTTATTTTATAATATACATGTTTGACTTACCACAGTCCATGTTCAAATGATATTATACTCCCTTGCGTACAGTGTGAGAACGTTAAACAGCGTCCCCAGCCCGGTATTTGAAATAGACCTTACAAAAATGACAGAGGTCTGAACTCTCAGTGACGGAGGCAGCCAGGGGGCCAGCAGCACACGAGGCCTCGTCCTGGTCCCAGAAGGTGGGGAGCAGAGGACTGGGGTGAGAAGCCGCCCCAGCTGGGGAGGGGAGGGGTGCAGGAAGAGGGGAGCGGGCAGTCTGTCCAGGTGATCCCACAGGGGCCACCTCAGAGATTCGAGCAGAAAGCGCTCCCTGACCACTGCAGGTCAGCACGCAGGGCAGCCGGGGGCCGCTCCCCGGGTGAGACATCAGAAGACTCCCCCATTTCGCATGTAGGCTTCTCCCTGTCTGAGCATATCTGCCAGCCACTAAGTCCCAGAGCCAGAGGCTCCTATCAGCTGTAAAGATTTTTTAAAAATTGATTTGAAAGGCAGAGTGAGAATGAGAGCAAGAGCGAGAGAGACAGAGGATCTTCC